GGACGGCAGAGCGGACAGCTGCAGCCAGGTAAGACATCCCCCGAAAATAAGACCTAGTGTCTTTTTTCGTAGAAAAAAAAATATAAGACACTGTCTTTTTTTCGGGGAAACACTGTATATGGGTCTCGGCATTTTGTTGATCAGGTGTGAACAGGGGCTATTGAAAATGATGAGATTTCTTGTGTTGCAGAGCAAATAGCAGTAGAACCCGACAGAAGAATCTTCCCTCATTCCATCTAAAACTATGAAAGATGTTTGGCTTGACAAACACTTCTAACTTCCAGCATGGAGTCCTTGGTTGAACTCCCAAGGTGCACAGCTTAAAAGTGTTAATACGTTTCCCTATGTTGAAACTGACTCCAATATGTATTTCTGTGTGAATATGGATGTACGATATATATCCCACTCAGACAATGATTGATATGAAAGGTCAATGTACTATGCAAAATACCTGTAGTATGTTGCCACTAGCGATGCCACTTTTTCAGGCCCAAGTACAAGTACTTCCCCTCATGTACTTGCCGATACCAATTACCGATACCTTTTCTTAAAGGGACAGGTGACTTTAAATGATCCATAGTACAGAACATGTAGTTGTACTATGGATCATGATTTAACCTATGCATGTTAGCAGGGGAGAATTGTAATTCTATTACTGCAGTGTACGGGACATATGTACTGCGGATGATGGTTTAACCCATTCATGCTAGCAGTGCAGAATTGTATATCTATTGCTGCAGTGCATTCTATATGTACTGTATATATACAGCACAAATGTCCCGTACATTGCAGCAATAGATTTACAATGATCCCCTGCTAACATGCATAGGTTAAATCATGATCCATAGTACAGAACATGTAGTTGTACTATGGATCATGATTTAACCTATGCATGTTAGCAGGGGATCATTGTAAATCTATTGCTGCAATGTACGGGACATTTGTGCTGTATATATACAGTACATATAGAATGCACTGCAGCAATAGATATACAATTCTGCACTGCTAGCATGAATGGGTTAAATGATCCATAGTACAACTACATGTTCTGTAACTACATGTCCTAACTACAGGTACAGGGCTACATATCATGTACTATGGATCATTTAACCCATTCATATTAGCAGGGGATGATTGTAAATATATTGTTGCAGTGCATGCTATATGTCGTATATAGTGCTTGTACATATAGAGTGCCTGCAGCAGTACATTTACAATTATCCTCCGCTAACATGAATGGATTAAATGATCCCTAGTACAGGGCTACATATAGATAATTTAATCCATTCATGTTAGCAGAGGATAATTGTAAATGTATTGTCTGCACTGTATTAGCAGTGTGTACTCTATATGTGCACTATATGTAGTACATATAGAGTATATACTGCTAATACATCTAAATGGCCAGCTAAATTAGAATCCTACCTGTAGCTCCTCTCGCCAGAACAGCGCTGACTCGCCGCTGCGTTTTTGTTTTTTTTCTCTTACTTACCTCACCGAGCGCCACTGCTGCTCCGGTGGGCGGCGCTCCAAGTGGGGTCATCTGGTAGTCTCCGGCTACCTAAATTAGGACCCCACCTGGAGCTCCGCCCACCGGAGCAGCAGTGACGCGACGCTCGGTACAAGTACTTGTCAAAATGCCCTGTATCGGGCCCGATTCCGATGCTAGCATTGGTATCGGGACATCCCTAGTTACCACCATATACAGTATACAATTACACTAAATAGCCAAATGTATTTGGACACCCCTCTTCCTAAATATTTAGTTTAGGTGTATTCATTGGAGGTAGTATAACTAGTACAGCATACAAAGCCATTGTAAATAATTTTGCACTTCCAACCTTGTGGTAACAGTTTGGGAAATGTCTTTTTCTGTTTCAGAATGACTGTATCCCTAGGCACAAATCCACCAACAAATGCATAGTTTGGTGTGTCTGGTGCAGAGAACATAGAGTGGTTTGCACAGGGCTCTGACCTAAGCTCTAATGAACACGTGTGAGTAGTACATGGACACTTTTGTTTTCAACAGGAAGGGTTGGGGTCCTACAATTGAAAAAATTGCTGGAGTTATGCAGAATGCAGTTTTACCACCTACCAAATTGAATGCATCCTCGTAGTCCAATGAGTAGTCCTACACTATGATAAAGAGGCAATGGGATGTACAGGACATCTTTGCTTGTGAAATCAGTTAACATTGTAACGGTACAGCTTGTCAAAACACGTTTTTGAGATATGATGGCGGCTTTTGGGAAACCTGCAAAAAAACACAACATTACAATAATATTACTGGCAGTAGTTGTCCAGGGGCAATCCCAGATGCCAGTCAAAATACCCAAGGTACCCCAACTGGCAGGTGATGGAGCAGCAACTATCCTCTACTAAATTGTGATTAATGATCATACTCTGAATGGTCTAAGGTTGTTAGTGGTGTACCCCAAAGTTAGGTATTGGACCCTTTACTTTTAAACCCATTTGTAAAGGATATAGAGTTTGGGATTAAAAGTATAATTTGCTTAACCAGTTGCCGTCTGCCCGTTGTAAAAAAACGGACGGACGGCACTGCAGCATTGGCGGGTTGCCGTCTCCAGACGGCATTTTTTTTCTGCTCGCGCGATGAAACCGTGCTGTGTAGTGGACTAAAGTCCTGACAGGATGCCTCTAACATAAAAGCAGACCTGAATGCACTGTTTGACTGACTATGATAAATGTAAAGTTATGCATGTTGGGGTGAAAAACATGCATGGATCATACATTGTAGGGGGAGTACAACTGGGGTAGTAATTAATCATTAAAGGAGACCTATGAGGAGAGTGAAAATCACTAATCCTCATAGTTAGAGCCGGCGTGTGACAATGAAACTGTCACACGTCAGTTCAATAGATCGGTCATCTCCTTGCAGAGAGCGGTGACTGTCAGTCACTACTCCCCGCAAGGATTTCCCCCCCTCCCCGCTCCGATCCTCCAGCGCTGACTGGAGGAATGGATGGAGGAGGGGGCTGGTACCGCTGGCTTTGCCTCTAGATGGGCAGAGCCAGCTCTCAATCACGCAGCTGGGTGGATCTCGACAGCATTGTCGGGATCCATCCCGGCTGCGGCGGTCTCAGTATACCGCGAGCTGTAGCTCGCGATATACTGAGCTTTGGATCACGGGAGGAGGTTAGTATATGTCCTCCCATGACCCTTAAGAGAACTATGGGGAAAAACACTTAATGCATAGTTCTCTTTTAAGGATTTGGGTTCTGATAGATCATACACTTATTAGTAGGGATGCACCGAAACTGTTTTTTCGGTATTGAGCACGAGTACCAATACCGAATACCAATATCGGAAGTCCCATTAAGGAAGCTGGGCTGCGTATAATGACTCACCGCTCAGCTTACCGATTAGCCGGGAAGCCATCTCCATGCTCCCTCGTCACCAAGTGATGAGGAAGCATGGAGCTGGCTTTCTGGCCAATCAGGAAGCCGGGGGCGGGTAATGACTCGCCATCTGGCTTCCTCATTGGTCAGCTTCCCGACCAATCAGGAAGCTGGGCAGGGAGCCATTACACGCCGCTCGGCTTCCTAATTGGCTGGAAAAGCTGGCTTTATGCTTACCCGTCACCAAGTATTGAGTTTCTGATAACAGAAATACAGGTATCAAGATAGGCATCAGGAGCATTTGGGCGAGTATGAGTACTTGGCCAAATACTTGGTATCGGCACCAATACCGATAGTATCGGTGCATCCCTACTTATTGACATGGAATGTCAAGCTACAGTTTCTAAAGCAAGCAAATACTTTCTTGCATTAAAGGAGGTATAATCTTGCCCCTGTACAAAGCATTAGTAAGACATCATCTGTAATATGCAATCCAGTTTTGGGTACAAGTTCACAAAACAGGATGTTGGGAAATTGGAGTGAGTGCAGAGAAGGACAACTGAACTTTTATGAGGCATGGAGGACATCAGCTATAAGGATAAATTAGATTACCTGAACTTAATCTCCCTTAATAAGAGACATTAAGGGGTAATATGTTCACAATGTAAAATACATAAATGGTCACTTTACAGTCATTGCAAAGGACAAAGGGCATGCTTTGCATCAGGAGGAAAAAAGAGGTATTTACATTTACAAACACTTCTTCACAGCCAGAGCTGTGAAAATGTGGAATAGACTATCTCAGGAACTAGTTCTAGGCAGCTCAGTTACTTGTTTTAAAAAAACTTGGATGCATTTCTACATGTACAGAATAGAACTAGCTATTAACACTTGTAAATTGATCCAGGCAATATCTGATCGCCATAGGGATTTTTTTTCTCTATTGGAGCAAATTGGACCATGCTTTATAGAGGTTTTTTTTGCCTTCCTCAGGATCAACTCTGGGTATAGGGTTCTGTATATAAAGGTTTTCAATTTATTTATTAATGTTCTATTATTTGAACTTAATGGACTTTTGTTTCAACCTAACTATGTAGCTAAATAGATGTTGAATTTCTCACCATATCACAGAAAGCATAAACAAATCTAATTTTCAAGCACAAACCTGAACATTTTTAGACCATTTAGACCAGGGGTGGCAAACTCAAATTCATGGGGGGCCGCATCAGCAGTATGGTTACCCTCAAAGGGCCGGTTGTAATTAGACCATTCACATGATATCTGTATTTCTGCTGATACTTAATGTGTCCTAAAGATTATAAACAGCATTGATGTAATGATTGTATTCATGTATTATAGGTTATTGTAATCAGAATCTAGTGTATAAACAGTAAACTGAAAAAGCCCCTTGTCATAATTGTCACATTCTTGTAAAATATGTAAGGGTATCAATTCACTGCACCATGGGCATTTTAAGTGGAAAGAAATGGCAGTAGCTCAATCAATTGACAAAAAGCATGGGCAGTGCTTACTGGGAGATGTAATTTACTGCATGAACTCTGAAAAATTCAAATGTCCCAAGAACTCATGCATTCTGAGATTTACACAGCTCTTTCATGCAGCAAATTCCTGCCTTGCAAGGCAGACGGCCTGATAATTTTCTGCAGTTAAAAGAGAACTTTGGGGTAAGTGTTTTTCCCCATAGTTCTCTTTAGGGTCACGGGAGGACATATAATAACCTCCTCCCATGACCCAAAGCTCAGTATATCCTGGGCTGTTGCCCGCGATATACTAAGAGTGCCGCATGCCGGGACAGATCCCAACAATACTTTCAAGATCCACCCAGCTGCGTGAGTGATAACTGGCTCTGCCTATCTAGAGGCAGAGCCAGCTGTGCCCTCCCCCTCCCCCATTCGTTCCTCTACTCAGCGCTGGAGGATCGGAGAGGGGAGGGGGGAATCCCTGCAGGGAGCCGTGACTGATAGTCACCACTCACTGCAGGGAGACGGTTCGGTAAGTGAGCATGTTTCTGCTCACTTCCCAATCAATAGAGCCGACCTGTGACAGCTTCTTTGTCACAGGTCGGCTCTAACTATGAGTATGAGTGGAAATCACTCACCTAATTGTTCTCCTTTCAGTAGCACCACCAAGTAAAGGGCAAATCTCTCAACGGAAATACCTGGTCAATTAACAACTGTTGAAGGTAAAATTATCTCTTAACTTTAATCAATTTAAAATGATGAATATTAATTGTCATTGTGTGGCCTGCACAGTAGCAGGCCCTTTGCTGCTTCCCTCAACTTTACCCATGCCAGGACCCCAGGCAGGTGAGCACTGCCAGGGCCACTCATGGATTTCTCAGTCCTGCTTCTTGTCTGAATAAATGGGCTTTAATTATTGCTACAGCCTAATAAGAAAATTGGGGGAAGGTAAAATGCACACAGGTATTTGGTTGGCAAAGCAGGGCCACTTATATGTTTGGAAATAAGAGATAGTCTGTATAAGAGAAGCCCAAGTGTTATTCTACCAAACTGACTTTTAAGCTGGCTATGTCACTCAGCATATTACTAGTTGAATGTGTTTGACTAAAGCAAAACCAGATAAGAGAAAAATACGTTCACCTGTAGTTCCAGATGTGTAAATGTACAACGCAGGGGATTGTGGGGAAATATCTGATCTGTAGGATTGTGGGATTGGATCTTCAGAAGAAGCTTCCATTTTGTCAAGTAGACTATGTGTTCCATCATTAAAAGTGTCCATGTTTAGATAAAACACCAGCACTCCTTCTTCTAAGAGAGTAGGCAATACTTCGTCTATAGCTTTCTTCAATACTGCGAAATGCAAAAGATGATGTTGGCATACAACAAGATTAGGAAAACAGTAATGCAAATACTCTAAATACAGATTGTTTCTCACAATACTTCAGGAAAGAAGAAAAACTTTGAAATGTAAATAATTTACCATGTGAAAGCATAAGAATGTTGTCTTTACTCCACTTTATTAGGTGAATGAGAAAATGTGTCCTTATGGGGCACAATGGGGACTGTTCAGACAAATGTAGCAATTAGAAACAGTAGACAATGGCTAGAAAAATCCTTCCGGTTGGACAATTCTGGTTGGCTTTTTATAACATTGTTCCCCACTGTGACCATTAATGGCCAAATTCAGAAAACATTCTACTTAAAGTTAGTTGGTTTTTTATATATGCACCGATACCAAGTACCGTACTCGGTACAAGTACAGATACTTTTTGAGCTCCAAAACTAGACTAGAGAAAAATTCAAAAGTTAGGAGGCAGCTGTAATTTGTAAGGAGCACACGGAGCTCCTGGGATTTGTACATCTCTTTTTTAATGTATGATTTAGTTTTTATAAATATAAATAAAGGGATGCACAGATACCATTTTTGCGAGTACGAGTACTGGTACTTGCCCAAGTACTTACAAGGATGAGTACTGATACATTTTTGTTTATTGTCATGTTTATTGATTGTTTCTAAAACAATATCGACTAATGATTTCAGAACAGTGGTGGAGCGCCAGAGCCAGGTTCCAGCTGCAATTGATGCAACCTTGGTAGTTCTCATGAAAATGCCAAGTATCGGCACTGGTATCTGATACGTATCAGTGCATCCCTAGTTTTATACATGGAATAAAAGAACTGCTGAGCACAATTATCATCTACCTCCCCCTATAACCAACCTTCAACCGGTCCGCTCTGAAACTTTCTTCCCTGTCCCACGCTGCCCTCATGCAGTGACCTTTATACACCCATCGATGTGGAAACCCCACCTGAGCTTTAAACCCTTAACCCATGTCCTCCCCATTAAGCCTATATAACCCTACATATAACTGATTATATATATATAAATATTTTTAATGCTTTAAAAGTTTCACCTGTATGTTGTTTATGTGTATTAGGTTACATAATTGTAATGATGTTGGCATACCCAATAAGAACTCCCGATAAGAGTGCTATTATCATCTATACCAGGGATTCGCAAATGGCGGACCGCGGACGCCAATGACAGCCAGTGCCGACTCCAATTCCTGGCTCTGTGCCCTGACTTCACTTTCCAGCTAAGGTACCCCAAATAAACATGTGAGGACAGTAAGGTGGCACTCCAATGGGGACAACCAGTGTATGGGGGCACTCCGATGGGGACAACCAGTGTAAGGGAAAACTCAGATGGGGACAGCCAGTATAAGGGGGCACTCTGATGGGGAAAACTAATTATTATTTGCCCCCACTGGCGTGCCCACCAATACATTAGTTGCCCCCATCAGCGTGCTCCCTTACCTTTGCAGTTAATGTAAGGCAGCACACTGATAGGGACAGCCAATGTAAGGGGGCAATTTGATGGGGAGAAATAATTATTAGTTGCCCCCAATGGAGTTGCCATTTAGGGGGCACTCTGGGGCAATATAACAGTGTATTCTGATGGGGACAAGCAATGTAAGGGGGCACACTGATTGAGACAACCAATGTAAGGGGGCACTCTAATGGGGACAAACAATGTAAGGGGGCACTCTGATGGGGACAAACAATGAAAGGGGCACTCTGATGGGGACAAACAATGAAATGGGCACTCTGATGGGGACAAACAATGTAAGGGGGCACGCTAATGGGGAAAACTGATGTAATGGGGCACGCTGATGAATGCTGTACTTCTGAAGATGGCCACGATGTAATACAACCACATCACACTGTGCTGTGCCCATAGAACTTAATGAAATGTCACAGTGTGATGCGCTGGGATCAATGTATCAGCACTGTGTCTGGGAAAACACACCAGCAGCTATGCGTTGCAGTGCAGCTGCTGGTGTAAATGCAGGGTAAGCGGCGGTCTGCAGTGCAGTTTGGATCTCGGCTCGATGAAAATTTCGCTCACCGGACCTCCTTGAATTTTACTTCACTACCCCTGATCTATACTGACCACATAATGAAAAACTCTTCTTTGTGAAAAAGAAAAAACTGTGCGTGACAGAGGTGCTGAATAGCAGGTAGCCCAAATTTACATTTAAGGTGGCCCTCCTAAACACAGAAGAGTATTGGTTAGTTGAAAATGCTTATGTTTGCCTTCTTTTACATATTTCTGTGAATGAAGAATTCAATTTGAACCACAGTAGAGCGGTTTTGTACATATTACTGGGCAAATCTGTTCTACTTGCCACTGGTCTACTACCTTTAAAATTTTACAGGAATTCTGAAAGCATTCGTGGTAAATATGTTATATAACAAGAACATTGCTGTGTATTGCATGTTGTGCACTGCATTCCCTCTACACTTTACCTGACTAGCAATTTAGCACTACAAATAATGTAAAGATCACATTTCTTGTACACATGGAGAAGCATTAATGTGAACCTGGTCTTTGCCTTGCGAAGAATGGATCAGCTATAAAGAAAATGTAAATGTGTCATCTACCTAGGCTGTGCCATGTTCACTCTCCTGCTCGGGTCACCGAGTACCCTGCACTGAAGCGGGCGCTCTGCTACTCACCTTGACTTTACCGATGCCAGGACCCAGACGGATGAGTATTGCCAGGTACCAAGCATTGATTTTTCAGACCTTATTGTCTGATTGCCACAACCTAGTAGGAACATTGGGGGAAGGAGGGACAAAATACACACAGGTATTTGGCTACAAATCAATGCCTCTTTATATGTTTAGGAGGGAAATAGAAGGCATAGACTCTGTAAGAGAAGCCAAGTGTCATTGTGACATTGTTTTGTTAACTTGTACTGTTGCAATAAATACATTCTAGAAGAATAAACAATAAGGTTGGGGGGAGGTTTTCAGGTAGGCTGTGTGGGGCCCCATTATTTTGAATAGTTTTATTTAGGGATCTAAACAGCTCTGTAGTTTGCATCCAGGGCAGCCATCAGGGGGGAACGACTGATACTCATGTACTCATGTAAGGGTCCCGGGCAGCCTGGGGGGCCCGCCCGGGTCCCTTACATGACTATCGGCCGACGGTGAAGGGCGAGGAGGCGGAGGCCTGGCCCTAGCAGCGCAGGGCCCCAGCATTGCCGCTCCAGCGGCTTCGAGACAAGCTGGGGCCCTATCAGCGATGCTGCTTGTCTGATGTCGGACTGGCCGGAAGTGACGTCACGCTAGTGACGTGACGTCACTTCTGGCCTGTCCGGCGGCAGACGACGCCACGTGTGCAGGTAAGAGGAGCTAGGAAGGTAGGAAGGAAAGGAGGGAGGGGAGGGAAGCAGCCCTGACCAGCCCACCTGAGACCCCTTCAGAGCCCACCATAGACAGTCTCAGATGGGCTGTGCAGCATCTATAGTGGGCTCTGCAGGGTCAATCTCCACAGGTGGGTCCTGTCTCCAGCGCGTCACTAAGCCCTGCGTCCAGTGCGTCACTAAGCCCGTGTCCAGCGGCGGGGGGGGGGGCCCGGCCTAAAGCCGTGTAAGGGGCCCCAAAATTTCTGACGGCTGACCTGTTTGCAACTATATTGCCAGTAATTAAATGTAAAATCATACAGTCACTGCCTTATAGGTATCATGTTGTCAAAGGCTTGGGACATCATGGATTGTGGTATGAGTCTATAGGCTGTTACCTCAGCTGAAATTATATGCATAAATCCAACTACCCCACAACGCTGTAGTCTTTTTTTAAAATGAACAACTTCTTTAATTTCTTCTCCTCTAAGTGCAATGGTTATCTTGAAGAGCTTTAAGTATGAGTTGATACATTTTCATTAGATATATTAGCTAATGAAAATGTGTAAAGAATATTAATTTAGCCTTTAAATATACAAATGATAGTACACATGACCTCTGTGCATAATATGAACTACCTAAAATGTTGTGCAAGCCTAAATAATATTTTGTTTTTAAATACAGAATAAAGATAATTAATCACCTGGAGTAGCAATTAACACTTTTGCTCCACTGATCTTGAAGCAATGCAGAAAGGACTTGGCCCGTATATTGTAGTTCAGACATGCCATGGGGCAACCTAATTTGGTCAGTGCCAGCCAAATCCAGGCATAGGCAGGCTCATTAAAATCAAATATAGCAACACTGTCTCCTTTTTTAAGCTTTGCATGCTCTCGTAATGCCCATGCAGCCTGATTGCTTTTAAGGTCAATATCCTTGTAGGTATGAGCTTGGTCTTGATATAAAATGAAAGTTTGGTTGGGTGTTACAGACGCTTGCTGCAAAAATACATCCAGCATTCCATGAGAAGGAGAGTCCTTAACTGATTTTTCTATCTTCTGAAAAGAGTAAACTATTTTTATGAAGAACTTGAAGTCCTGCCACAAGGTTTGTGGAAATATTTGCTTTATGGCTATCCATATTGGGGTTATCCAGAGAAAAACTGCTTGTATTATGTGCATCCTGTGAAGAGAGAAAGAACATGTATACTTATATAAAACCATAGAAATGAATCATGCATGTGCCTTCTCACAAACAATGATGATTTTCCTACTGTAGGTTCTTTCTACGTTTTGATTTCTGGAATGGTCATAGATTATACGTGTTTTGACTATATCTGTGATCTAGTTTATTCATGTTGTCATCACTGATAGCATTGGGTACATTGCATAACAGACTCTAGAACATTCAAAAAACTGTACTTTGGAATTGAGATGGTTATGTTACAAGTTCAAAAATAAATTGGGCAATGTTACTCCCCCACATAGGAATGCGCACAGGGTGTACACCCTAATCACCCCGAGGGCAACACCGAAACCGCAACAGCAGGCACCATGTTTTTAGTCTCTGAGCCAGTGGGGAGATCACAAAGATCTCTCTGTGACCTGCACTTGCCACTTACATTCCTCACATAAAAGCCGCAGCACTCAGTGCCTGGGAGGCTGCAAGGGAGCGTGGCTGCGGCTTCCCACCCAATCAGGAAGCTGGGCGGGTGGCAACATGACTACAAGTCAGGCTCCCTGCTTCATTACTGCACCTCTGCTGGAAGACGTATTGAACAGTTGGAGATGGGAATCCGGGATGCCTCAGGTCTGTGTATGTAAAATGTATATATATACACTATATTGTCAAAAGTATTGGGACGCCTGCTTTTACATGCATATGAACTTTAATGGCATCTCAGTCTTAGTCCTTAGGGTCCAATATAGAGTTGGCCCACCCTTTACAGCCAGAAGAGCTTCAACTCTTCTGGGAAGGCTGTCCACAAGGTTTAGGAGTGTGTCTATGGGAATGTTTGACCATTCTTCCAGAAGCGCATTTGTGAGGTCAGGCACTAATGATGGACAAGAAGGCCGGGCTCACATTCTCCGCTCTGATTCATCCCAAAGGTGTTCTATGGGGTTGAAGTCAGGACTCTGTGCAGGCCAGTCAAGTTCCTCTACCCCAAACACGCTCATTCATGTCTTTATGGACCTTGCTTTGTGCACTAGTGTAGCTGGCGACTTCTGCGCACTGTGCGCTTAAGCATGTGCTGACCCCGCTCTGTCATTTTATGTGGCCTACCACTTCGTGGCTGAGTTGCTGTTGTTCCCAGTTGCTTCCACTTTGTTATAATACCACTAACAGTTGACTGAGTATTTAGTAGCAAGGAAATTTCACGGATGGACTTATTGCACAGGTGGCAACCTATCACGGTACCACACTGTAATTCACTGAGCTACTGAGAGCGACCCATTCTTTCACAAATGTTTGTAGAAGCAGTCTGCATGCCTAGGTGCTTGATTTTATACACCTGTGGCCATGGAGGCAATTGGAACACCTGAATCCAATGATTTGGAGAGGCGTCCCAATGCTCCCCCATCTTTGTATATATCACTTGAACACTCTAGTAGACTCATCTCAACACCAAAGTTCCTTGCTGCAAACAGATTTTTGATTGAAAAATATACTTTATTGATGTAATAAAATATACAAAAACAAGCTATACATTCGGGGTACATTCTACCTCGTACTGCGACACAGCGCATAAACACCACATAGCATTACAGCTCAATCACACAATAAATTACATTCGCACTGCGGCGAGATGCCTGACGTGTAGCGCAAGACAAGAGTCCTGAGCCCTCCACGTCATTCATGACACCGCATTACCCCGTACTGAGTCTGTGGTACGTAGAATCCACATCAATTACCTTCAACTAAATAAACTTCAATAAACCTTGCTGCAAACAGATATCCTATCAATCACAGGGAGATGCTTCCCTTTTATTCATGAAAATTGCATTACAGGTACTTCTGCAGGAGTACAGCTAAGCATCAACAGCTAAGCCCATAAACATTTGTAAAGTGAAAAGTTGCTATGAGTAAATTACCACATTAAAAGTCACTAAGCTGATCATATGACAGTAAACTAGCAGTCATCTGAGTTAACATCCATCTTTATTTATTTGCAGTTTATTCACTTTTTTGTTCCGCTTTATTTACCTACAGTAAACATTTCACAAACCTGCACAAAGATGTTGCCTTAAAAGAGAAGTATGGGCCAACCTTTTTGGGCCATAGTTCTCTTCATGGTCACAGGAGGACATAAATTAATGTCCTCCGTTGACCCAAAACTCAGTATATATCCGGCTATTCCTCAGAGCCGTCATTATTGACAATACAATCGAGATCCACCCCGCTGGCTGATTGACAGCTGGCTCTGCCACTCTAGAAGCAAGCCATTTAAGTACCTGAATTTAACTTTGTATTAGCCTCTCACAGTCCCTGTACAGCAAAACTTAGAGAGGGGGTGGAAAAGCAGCACAAGGCGCCAGTCAGGTGTGTTGCAGTGCAAGGACCATTCTGATAGGCAGACAACACATAGTGACAGAGAAATTAGTTAAAGTGACATTAAAGTCACAAATACCCCCCACCCCCACGCCGCTTTAAGGACTTACCTTAAATTATGCCTGAGCCGATTATGTTCTTCTTTCCAGTAGTTTTCACGAGTCCCTCCAGCGTTGTGTCTTCTGTGTCCCACGTTGTCTATCCGCGTGCACGCTACCAGGCTGCGTGCATTGACTTGCAAAGTGTCTCTCCTCTTCTCCCAGCCAAAGATCTCTACTGCACATGCGCCCGCCCCATCATGTTGCTCAGCCGCTCGAGAATCTTCAGATCTTCAGACGGGTGAGTGGCGGAGACATACAGGGCAGCCTTCAGAAATTTCGGGGCCCCTTACACGGCTTTAGGCCACAATGCGATCGCCCGCAGGGGAACATTTTGACCGCACCGCAGCATTTTGACCGCACCGGAACGCACTGCAGGCACAATGTGCCTTGCGATCCTGTGCGGGAGATCGCATTGCGGCCGGGGGGCGTGGCTACAGCGCCATTCACTTGAATGGCCCGCCACGCCCCCTCCTGCCCGGCACAAAGTGAGCCAGCTGCAATGTGATGCAGTGCGTTCTGGCCGGAACGCACTGTAAGTGGTCTGAACAGGCCCTAAGAGCCAGAGACTGTGTACAGTGACACCGGAAGTGATGTACTGCACATCACTTCCGGGTCCAGTGATCGGAGGAGAGATCCGCAGCTAGAAGCCACTGATCTCTCCTTCAATCTGTCAGGGGAGAACCTCCACGCATGGCCTGGTCTCACAGGAGGGACAGATGAGCCCAGGAAACTGACGGTGGCACCGGCGCCCGTGGAGGAGGGGGGCACAGCTCCGCACAGTACAAGCGATTCAGCACCTGTACAGACGCCGGATCGCTTGTAAACAGCAATTGTCAGCGGTTTAACACGGTACAAGAACATGGCTTTAGGAGCAGCCATGTTCTTGGTATAACCACTTCCAGTGGATGACACACACACTTAATGAAACACACACATATCACACACACTCATTAAAAAACACACACATAGCTTCATTAATTTTTTTTTTTAAATCACACATATTCATTAAAACACACACAATAAAACATACACACAGACACACATTAACAATTAAAATAGTTATTTAAAAAATTTCCCCCTCTCCTGCTTACCTGTTTTGCAGGAAGGGGGGCTGCATCCCTGGGTCCAGTGGAGAATCAGTGTGATCTGCACTCTGGCTGATGCAGACCATATTAATCGATCCCTGCCTATCAGTGTCGGCACCACGAGGGAGCGATCAGTATGATCTGCATCAGCAAGAGATGCAGATCATACTAATTACCCACTTGACCACCAGGGAATTATTTTCATTCAATATATTGCCTGTTCGGCAATATATTAAATAAGATGTGGGCACTTGCCAGGTTTAAAGATGGCGGCTATCTTTACAAACTAATGTACAGTGGTGACCCCCTGGGGACACCGGAGGCATCCCAGGTGAGGATCTGGAGCGTGTGGGCCCCGGCCTCCTCCGTTGCTGTGTGGGCCCCGGCCTCCTCCGTTGCTGTGGGGGGCCCGGCCGCCTCCGTTGCTGTAGCTATGCTACTGCTAGCAAGCAGTAGATAAATGCAAAAAAGAGAGTTTAATTATACTTTAATCAGTGTGCTTCTTCTTTCTTCACTGTCCAGTCATCAAGTGGATGAGGATGTGAAAGTTCAACTGCAACAGACAAAGATCAGGTGCCTTCTTCTGCTAGGGGAGACTGTGCTGTGTGGCAGAGTTGTGTAAATCTCCAGATGAAATGGACAGAAACACAAATCCTTTTGCATGTAAAACAGCTTTCATATATGCATTTTATATTTGTATTTAGCAGTTTGCCTGGAGTTCAGCTTTAAATATCAGCTTTTTTCAAAACTGTATTATGGCTTTGCCCTCTACCACCTCTTAAAGTGTATTTCCACTTTCACAGGCACAATTGAGAAAACCCCACTATATGTTTGTGTAGTGTCACCCTTTTTCTCAGTCATTGATAGCCAATGCAGGAATACACTACCTCTGGTTCTAAAGGGTGGGCTACAGTGATAGAACTAATGGGTCCCCTTGTGTTTCCTCTGTAAGAAATCTCAATGATGGATCCACAGCACACCAGCACACCTTGAGATGGTTTAACACAGTTTACTGTGTATGATGAGATGAGTAACAGTATTGACATAGACAAAAGTGCACTTTCTATCATCAAACACTTTAAACCATATAGTAGATTCAATTAGAAGGGTGACTATATATCAGCAATGGCTGTATTGACAATAGTCCCCCTATACAGAATAAAGAATAGAATACAACGCTGTCTTAGTCTCAATGTACCCTGATACCTAAACAACTGGCCAGTGGTATAATCTTTGGCTAGCCAACGTTGTGGCCCAATGTATTTGATAACAGACTCAGTGTTTGGTGTTCTCAGTAAGCATAGGCCAGAGGCCTCTCATCTATCCTGGAGGGAGATGCTCATCAGGGGTGTCTCGCACTGTCAGCAGATATCCTTCAGAGGGGAGATAGTTCACCTAGGAGATGAATCAGCAGGCTCTGAAATCAGTAATGGATCCGATCATCCG